TCCAATAACTCCTGCAATTGAATCTTCAACTCCTTCAATTCCTTAGGTGCCATCCGATATGGAGCAATAGATATCGGATTAGTTCTTGGAAAAACTTCAATTGTAAAGTCTACTTCTCGCTCTGGTGGGAGTCCAGGTAATTCTTCTGGGAATACATCCGGAAAATCTTTCACAATGACTATGTCTGAGAGATTGAGTCCTGCCAACTTCGTGTTGATTACATAAGCCAAAATAGCTATGCACCCCTTTCTTATCATTTTTCGTGCCATGGTGGCCGAAATAACGTTTGAGAGAAAATCGGATCTTTCCCCTACTATAATCACCTCTTCATTAGTAGATGTTTTCACAATAATCCTCTTCAATCGGCAATCCACTATAACGGAATGCTTGGACAGCCAGTCCATTCCAAGAATCACATCGAATTCATCAAATGGAAGTTCTATTAAGTCTCCAGTGAATGTGTGCCCTTGAGCTTGAATTGGGCAGTCAATATAGACCTTGTTTACTGTTACGCTATTACCTAAAGGATTGGTAACTAGCATTTTACATTCTGCAGTCCCTGTTTGTAATTCTTTCCCTTTTGATATTGATGTGCATATATATGAGTGAGTAGATCCAGGATCAACCAATGCACGAATAGGAATATCAAATATATTAAACATACCGACTATAATGTCTGGTGCATCTGCATCATCTCGCCCCCGGATAGCATGTGTACGCGCAGGATTGCGTGCAACATCTTTGTTCACAGATTCTGATCTTGCCGTTTGGTTGGCATTGTTAGCTCCACTACCTCCACCTCCAGGTCTTCTTCCTCTAGCAGCCGTTGGTGCACGTTCTTCCACCAGATTAACAGGTGTTGGACCTTGTCGGGTGCAGTCTCTTGAAAAGTGCTCCTTTGATCCACATCTAAAGCATGCTCCTGTCACCTTCCAACATTCACCGAGATGCATTTTTCCGCAATGCTTACATCCAGGATTTTGTGACCCTCCTGCTCCCTTAGGTGTACTAGCCACAGATGTTGCAGTCTTAGCAGGTCGGAATTGAGCTGACTGACTTTGCCTTTGAGTATTGTTCTGCCCTTCACTCTTTGAGCCCTTAAACTTCTTGTTCTGCAGCGGGGTCGAACTTGAACTTCCACCGAATCTCTTTTGACTCCGATTTCTACGGGCCTGCTCCTCGTTTTTTACCTTTTCAGTTTGCAGGGCTGCGTCCACGAGCTGATTGTAATTCTCGATTCGTAAAGGGGCCAGTTGGAGACGTAAATAGTCATTTAGTCCGTCCTCAAACCTTCGGCATCTTTCAGCTTCATTTGTGACTATCCCACCAGCGTATCGGCTCAGCCTGGTGAATTCTCTCTCGTACTCAAGCACTGTCATTTGTCGTTGTTTAAGATGCAGAAATTCATTCCTCTTTTGTTCACGATACAACCTCCCCACATACTTCTCATTGAATGCATTCACAAAGAACTCACATGTTTGTTGTGGTAAAGGAACTCCACCTGATACTCTTAGCCACCACTGGTATGCATCTTCTTGAAGTAGAGACACGGCACATTCTCTTTTTTCTTCCGGGGTACAATGCATCTGGTTGAGCATTCTCTCGGTCCTGTCCAACCAGTACTCGGCGGCAGCAGAATCCTCATCCTTTCTTCCATAAAATTCAGCAGGTCGGTATTTTGCCATTCGCTCAATTGCCATCCTTGGAGGAGTATCACGATTCATTTGTTGGAGAAACTGCGTCATTTGTTGCATAAATTCCGGCAAAGCTTGACCACCCACACCAGCATTACCTGTGTGGTGGCTTTCAGCTTCTTCCTCGTTATTAAGCATACCTCCGAGTTGGTCGGGATCCATGTACAACCTAGATGAAGCAATTTGGGAGTTTGCCAATCAGAGTCACATTACGTGCAAGTGAATTAATGATCTCCTATGTTATATGCATTTTCCTAAACCTAGGCTTTGATACCACCAAATGTAACACCCACTACCCGGCCCGGAAGGCTAGGGCAGGGAGTGCTACCCGCAGTGCCGAAGCACCAAAGCGTTAACAAATTAACTATTTTCTTAAAATATTTTTGGCCGAATTTAAATGAGATTAATAATAGAGTTTATCAAAGTCCATAAATAGCGAAAGCATAAATATATTACACAAGTAGTTCTGGATTTTGGAGTAGCCAAATACATCCATGAAAATTGAACATTCTCATGCTTATTTATTGCACAACTAATATGCTAGATGAGTACTTATTATGCAACTAGAGATGGATTATTACTAATATGTGGATGTGACTCTTTGATGATTGGCTGCTGCTCCCAAATGCATCCTGGATCCGCCTTGTAACGCTTACTGACCTACGCGAAGGACAAAAATCCAACGCGCTAAGCAAATCTTGCTTAGTGGTGTTCATTCTTTCTCAATATAAAATTATCACAAATAATAATCAACACGAATTGTAATAATACCAACATAGCTCATAAAAACCGTGCTTTAAAAATATCACTCTTCATAGCTATTGTAGCTTGTAGATATGTCATATACGTAGTAATTAATATCACCATTTTGTTCAAAGTCACCATTTCCAAATATTTCTAATATTGTATCACAAATTAAATTACTCTACGCTTTTAACGTTTTCCATTCACTTTCAATGCATCCTTCCATTTTTCTCAGTTTGTATTTCCAAATCGAATTTCTATACATTTCTTATTTTGGAATTTTACTCCTTAGTTTTATGGACTGGATAAACGGGACGTTCTCATCTTTGGTACTGTCCACTCGGTGGCTACGGACCATCAGAGAACTATTTTGGCACTGGCCACTCGGTGGCTCTGGCCGGAGTTCGTTTGGGTACTTTCCACTCGGTGGCTACGGACCCGTAAACGAACATATTTGGGTACTGTCCACTCGGTGGCTACGGACCCGTATAGAAGCGCGCGTGTGTCAAATATCAAGATTTGGGTGCTGTCCACTCGGTGGCTACGGACTCGAAATCATTGATCAAATTCTACGGCCGTGTTAATTATCCCTATTGGCATGTCAATCTATCCAATCCAAAAACAAGGTTTCAAGTTCTGTATTTATTTATTAACCATTGTTTAATTCAGTACTTTAACTTCTACGGATATGATAATTACTATTTTAACACATCTTAAATAACTTTATACATAAAATATTCTGGAAATGAGTATTGTCAATACACATTCGAATTGCGGTAGCTGTCTTTAAAACTTGAACTTTTACATACTCCACATTTTGAATTATAGCTTAATTATTCTAAACAATTAGCTAATTAACGACCCAGATTTAGTAATTTATAATCTCACAATCATACAACTTAAAAATTTAACATACGTAGTACTAAATACTACTATACTATACTTTTTAAACTTTTGAATTTTATTATAAAATTACGTTATCTCTAAATAATTATAATTTAACTCCTTTAAAATATATTGGTAGATGTGGATCCAACTATAAAGTGTAAACACTCTCAGAAATCAGTAATTAGAAATCAGTAAGTTTGAAATTCTTTATTGACTTTAATTAATAGCATAGATATGTGTATACAAATATATACCTTGCAAATCAATATGTAATAATTTCCGAAAATGTCATTTCAAAATAGTTGGTGTTAAAACATACGAAGTATAAATAACTAGTCGCATAATAATGGGAAATAATTCCACTATGTGTACGTATATATGCTTTTCAAAAATAATTACGTATCATAAAACCATTTTTCCTGTTAGATATAAAATTACGAACTTTGGTCTTTAGACTCATAAAATATCTTCCAGGTTTTAAAGATCAGTTCTATCTTATTAGCTAGAGTGTATATGGTCTTCAAAAATTTACATTCCCTTATTATATACGTATTATATACGAAATCATTTATTTTCAATTTTCATCTAATTACTAGTAAAGTATTCATAGTGAAATTCAATATCTTTATATTAGCTTGTTTCTCTCTAGCCTCTGCTTTGTTTTTCTAATGTGAAATAAACTCTTAATTTGATATAAAGTGCATTAAAAACAGAGCTAAGAACCCATGCAGTAACATTTCTCTTAAAAAAAATATTGACTTGCTTCTGAACTCTCTAATGGAACATACTCATTTACCCTCCAGGCCATTCCTTAAAATCTATATAATACATACGTAGAAACACTCTCTTTTAAGTTTAACAAGAGTTGTAGTAATATTTCCTACGAAGTACTAGTATATGTTAACAATAATAGCGTTATCTTTTCTCAAAGAATTAATATATCTCAGCATGTAAATTAAATAAGAAACACTTTAATTACACAGTATAATAAAGTATAACAGTATGATTACTACGTAGAGCAATAAAAATGTCTAAAATAAGGAATGTAAACTTTTATCATAATAGGAGGAGGAATGAACACAGACCTATTAAAATTTTGGTTAGATTTTCTCTTCTTGGATTCCACCCTCACACTCCTCTCATTTTGATTTCATTTGCTCTAGTTTACTCCAGAGGTAAACGTAATGAAGGGACTCCAGAGGTTTCTACCGATAGCACGTACTATTGCTTGCTAATTCCTTTATTGCACTTAATATATTTACTATATAGAACATATCATTTTTGTTCTTATTCGTATAATGATGAGAGTGTTTTGCCCAGTGTCCTTGAGTTTTTGTTTGGTTAGACCATCTTATGCTTAGTGTCCTTTGGGATAGATATGTATCTACACGTGTCCTTCAATTTATTGTTTAATTATAAATACATATATTTATTTATAACCTAACTAATATATAATATATGTGTACACGTGTTTATATGTTCATAGTAAAATTTATACGTACACTTTTTAGCTTAGTGGATAATGTTACTTTAGTTGTGCATTTTAGATCTAATTTATAAATTTTATTTTCGTATTTAAGTCATCTAAGATATTAAATAATAAGAACTAATTTTCTGGCACATGTATAACCTTAATATTTTCTTTCAAAAATTTGAAAATAAGTTTGAGGATGTTACAATTCTTCCCCTCTAAAAAGAAATTTCGTCCTCGAAATTTACCTTAGCCAAATAGGTGTGGATACTGTTGTCTCATTACTTCCTCACTTTCCCATGTAGCCTCTTCGGTGGTGTGATTTTGCCAAAGCACTTTGACTAATGGGATCTTTTTATTCCCCAGCTCCTTTTGTCACGCCCCAGACCGCAATCCAAGCGCGTGTACAACCGCCGTGAAATCAAGTGATGTCACCCGCGAGTCAACCTCACTTGATTACACAAGGCGTTCGAGAAAAATAATCCATCCATACTCAGTAGTAAACATACATAACAACATCACATTTAAACCAATGAATAGCGGAAATATTCAACGGTAAGTCATAAGCCACAACCGGCCAATAACATGGGCATGCAAGCCCCAAAAGAATAGTTTATAACAAATAAAAATATCCATGAGCAATGGTTGGTAATTTGAAATAAAATGAGGAAGCACGAACCACGTCTTCCTTGATTTGATGTCACCCGTAGGAAGGTGCAGGTGGCAAGCCCTAGCTTCAACCTGAGAATGGTGGGGCCCCCCGAAGGGGTCAGTACAAGTACCGAGCGAGTAGCAGGCTAAATATAGAATAACTAGCGTTTCAAGTATAAGACCCAAACATAGGATGATACATATACGTATAGTCCTTCCCCCAAGTTTGAAATACATATTAGTATACATACACTTGGAAATACCCGACCCGTAGGTCATTGTTTATTTGGGAAAATAATAGTAGCCAATATCCTTGACTTAAATCCCAACCCACCCATATACCTATGAGTGTATAGAACTCCTCCTTGTTCAAATAAATTATCATAAGGACACCGTCCGGTCCTAGATCATTAAATGTAGCCTATGAGTTTTGAGGATACACGCCCGATCCTTGGGTACTCCACCCTATATAACCGAGTTTTGAGGATAACCGCCCGATCCTTGGGTACTCCACCCTATATAACCGAGTTTTGAGGATAACCGCCCGATCCTTGGGTACTCCACCCTATATAACCGAGTTTTGAGGATAACCGCCCGATCCTTGGGTACTCCACCCTATATAACCGAGTTTTGAGGATAACCGCCCGATCCTTGGGTACTCCACCCTATATAACCGAGTTTTGAGGATAACCGCCCGATCCTTGGGTACTCCACCCTATATAACCGAGTTTTGAGGATAACCGCCCGATCCTTGGGTACTCCACCCTATATAACCGAGTTTTGAGGATAACCGCCCGATCCTTCGGTACTCCACCCTATATAACCGAGTTTTGAGGATAACCGCCCGATCCTTGGGTACTCCACCCTATATAACTGAGTTTTGAGGATAACCGCCCGATCCTTGGGTACTCCACCCGACCTATGACTTACCACATATCACACTAGATAGGGTCTATATCATATTTAGCCAATCATAACTAATCCAATACATAAAACTTATGTATCACATTCCATGCAAAGCCATACAATTATGTAGATGTACAATTAATTAATATCGACCGGTATTAATTAATCCATTATCCACCGGTCAACGTGGTCGTTGACCGCCATTTCAAACCTTGTACAAATCAACTTAATCATCGCATAATTAAGTTAAAATATTCATTTGTGCTTCTAATACACTTCAAGCAAATATGCATTTTATATAATTCTTCATATCATATTCTATGCATAAACAATCTATTTCTTTCATACAAACTTAACTATGTTGGGTAATCACATGTTTAAATATCTTTTAAACATCATTATGCACACATATAACATTTATTTAGGTAATCTCATAATTGACCCAAAAGTTATAAGATATTAAGCCGTCCACTCACCTTGAACTAGCGTATGAAGTTCTACCCTTCTTGGTTGAACTCCGGTGAAACTCCGGCGACTTTTGGTCAACTCCGGCGAAAACTCCGGCGACTTTTCCAACTTTGTGAAATCACTTGAGATACCCTTTACAAGTGCCTAACAAGGTTTTAACATCATAAAACCTTAATCAATACAAATAACCTATAAAAGGTTATTTTCCGGTGAACCGGTCGTTTTGGCTTCTAAGTCCGTTCTTGGACATAGAATCACTTTCCAACCCATTAATCCATACTTATAGCATGTAGAACCATACTAGGGGTCCTTCACATGATATATACCTCATATGGTAGAAGAAAAATAAAGGAGAAGTTATAATAAGGTCATTACCTTAATTATTCACACTTTTCCCAACTTTTTCCCTCTTTAATCTTCCTTCTTGGAACCCTATGGCTTGAGCTCGAATTTTGGCTATGGAAGATGAGTTTGCAGAGGTCTCCTTGTTCTCTTGGTGTGCCTTGGCCGAAATTATGGGGTGGGTGAGTGAGGAGATAGCCTCTTTGGCTTTTCTCTCAAAATAATGTGGGAATGGGTCCTCCCCATTGTACTTTTGATGCCAAATGCATCTCCTCCTCATTTCCTCTTGTCAACCCAGCTCTCAATTGATGTGTTTAGCACATAAAAACGTGGGGTGGCCCCCACTCATGTGGGAGGTCATCCCTTTGTGTCCCGATGTGTACAATCGGTCCCGAAAGTTGTATTTTTCGGACTGTTTTAAATATATTTTATTTTATCAGGTCAAATAAAATATATTATGTGCTCTTACTCATTATGACATGTATAATGAATATACATTCCCCAACTTTAATTTATAAACCTCCGAAATTCATTTCCGGGCTGTTATCTGTTAAATTGTCGGTACCGGTAATTGGGCCTCTTTTTCCCAATCGGTCAACTCTGCGCCTTTTCACGACCCAAATAAAATATCCACCACTATGTAAATATTATCTTGACCAAGATGAATAAAATGTGTGGTCTCGGGAGTGTCGGGCGGCCCCCGCTCCGGGTGTGGGTCCCACGTGCAATTTACTATTCACGCGAAAGAAATAATAAAAAATTTACAACCTCGTAAATTCATTAATCCTTTAATAAGGTTCAATACATTATTTACATAAAAGTAAATATATTTGGGGACGGTGTTACAAGTTCACCCCCCCTTATTTGGGATTTCGTCCCCGAAATCCAAGTATCTAATCGAAAAGAAATGGGTATTGCTCCCTCATTGAGATCTCGGTCTCCCAAGTTTCTTCTTCGACTCGATCACTCCTCCAAAGAACCTTTACCATAGGAATCTCCTTATTCCTAAGCTTCTTCACTTGTTGACCAACAATCTTCACTGGTTCCACCGCATATTGCAAGTCCTCACGGATCTCTACCGGTGGTCTCTCAAGAATATGAGATGGGTCTCGTATGTACTTCTTGAGCATTGATACATGAAACACGTCATGTATCTTCTCAAGTTCAGGCGTCAACTTGAGACGGTAAGCCACGGCCCCTATTCTTTCAAGGATTTCAAATGGACCGATGTATCGGGGATTAAGCTTTCCCCTTGATACAAATCGAATGATGCCCTTCCAAGGAGAAATCCTTAGGAAGACCTCATCACCGACTTCGAACTCTAACGGTCTCCGCCGTTTATCAGCATAACTTTTCTGTCGGTCCTGAGCGGTCTTCAGTCTGTCCCGAATGATCCTCACCTTGGCCTTGGTGATCTCAACCAGCTCTATCCCTACGAGTTTGGCCTCGCCAACCTCGTCCCAACACAACGGTGTTCTGCATTTCCTCCCATACAATGCCTCATATGGGGGCATGCCGATACTTGCCCGATAACTGTTGTTATAGGCAAACTCCATTAGGGCCAAATGCTTGTCCCAACTTCCTTGGAACTCCAGCGCACATGCCCTAAGCATGTCTTCCAAAATCTGTATCACCCGTTCAGACTGTCCATCCGTCTGTGGGTGAAAAGCTGTGCTAAACTTCAGTTTAGTACCCAACGATGCTTGAAACTTTGGCCAAAATCGGGATGTGAATCGTGGATCCCTATCCGAGACAATGGATATTGGGACTCCATGCAATCTCACAATCTCCTCTGTGTAGAGCTTGGCCAATCTTTCAAGAGGATAAGTAATGTTGATAGGCAGAAAGTGTGCACTCTTGGTGAGCCTATCAACCACTACCCGTACTGCGTCATAGTTGTTCACTGTTCGTGGTAGCCCCACCACGAAGTCCATGGTCACGTGCTCCCACTTCCACTCTGGGATGGTGAGTGGTTGCAAAAGCCCTGCCGGGTGCTGATGTTCTGCCTTAACTTGCTGGCAAGTAAGGCATCGACTCACATACTCTGCGATGTCTCTCTTCATACCTGACCACCAGTAACTTTCCTTCAAATCTCGGTACATCTTAGTACCTCCTGGATGCATAGCATAAGCTGAAGAATGAGCCTCCTCAAGTATAGACTTCTGGAGTTCCTCATTCTTTGGTATGCATACACGATCCTTAAACAATAATAGACCGTCATCACGTACTCGGAAGTTCTCAACGGGCCCCGCAAGGATCCTTTCACGGATCTTCTGACATTCCTCATCCATGGCCTGACTTCGACTAATCTCGCCCAATAGGGTGGGCCTAACCTCGAATCGAGCAATGAGAGCCCCACACATGGACACCTCCACGCGTGCCCTCAATGCCTGTAGACATGTGAGTAGCGTCCCTGTCGTATTCTTCCTGCTCAGTGCGTCGGCCACGACATTGGCCTTTCCGGGATGATAGTCGATGATCAAGTCATAGTCCTTGATCAACTCCATCCATCTCCTCTGCCTCATATTCAACTCTTTCTGAGTGAATACGTACTTCAAGCTCTTATGGTTTGTAAAAATGTGACATGTCTCCCCGTAGAGATAATGCCTCCAGATTTTCAGTGCAAACACTACCGCCCCTAATTCTAGATCATGGGTAGGGTAGTTCACCTCGTGCTTTCTTTATTGCCTTGAAGCATAGGCAATCACTTTACCGTTTTGCATCAGTACACATCCAAGCCCTTGGATGCTAGTATCACTGTAGATATCATACCATATCCCCTGTATGGGTAGGGCTAGGACTGGTGCTTCGGTAAGTCGTTTCTTCAGTTCAAGGAACCCTTTCTCACACTTGTCGTCCCATATAAACTTGGCCCCTTTCTTTGTGAGCTTCGTTAATGGGGACGCCAATACGGAGAATTTCTCAACAAATTTACGATAGTATCCCGCTAGGCCAAGGAAACTACGTATCTCTTTCACATTCTTGGGTCTCTCCCAATCCATGATAGCTTTTATCTTGGCGTTATCCACAGCAACGCCCGAACCAGATATGACATGACCGAGGAAACCAATCTCCTTGAGCCAAAATTCGCATTTAGAGAACTTGGCAAAGAGTTGCTTTTCCCTTAGCCGATCAAGTATAAGCCCCAAATGATGTTCGTGCTCCTCCTCGCTCTTGGAGTATATTAAGATATCGTCAATGAATACTATCACAAATTGGTCTAAGTATTCACTAAACACACGGTTCATCAAGTCCATGAATGTCGCCGGTGCGTTGGTTAAACCAAACGACATCACCGGGAATTCATAATGACCATATATAGTGCGAAATGCACTCTTAGGTATGTCACTCTCCTTGATCTTCAACTGATGATACCCCGACCTCAAGTCAATCTTCGAGAACACTATTGCTCCTCGAAGTTGATCGAACAAGTCATCAATCCTCGGTAAGGGATACCTGTTCTTGATGGTGACCTTGTCCAACTGTCGGTAGTCGATACACATTCTTAATGTACCATCTTTCTTCTTTACGAATAGTACGGGTGCTCCCCACAGTGAATGACTGGGTCAGATGAACCCGTTGTCCAATAGTTCTTGTAGTTGGACCTTCAACTCTTGAAGTTCGGCCGGTGCCATTCGATAAGGAGGAATCGAATTGGGTTTGGTCCCCGGCTCCACTTCGATTACAAATTGAATCTCTCTATCGGGTGGAAGCCCCGGTAGGTCCTTGGGAAAGACGTCCGGGTACTTGCACACGACTCGAACATCCTTGATGTCGACTTCTTTCTTCGTATCATCTACCACGTAAGCAAGGTATGCGTGACATCCCTTCCTCATCATCTTCCGTGCTCTCATCACGGATATGATACAAGCATTAGATTTCCCCCGATCTCCTTCGAAACATAGCGTGTTTCCTTGATCATCCTCGAGCTCCAACACCTTGGTGTAACAATCTACTCGAGCATGGTGTTTCTCGAGCCAATCCATTCCTAGGATTGCATCGAACTCCAACATGCTCAGAGGTACGAAATCACAAGTCAAAGGTTGACCCGTCACTTCTACCTCACACGAGGGATAGTAATGATCTCTCTCCACGTCGTCTCTTAACGGTGTGGAGACTAGCAACGCTTGCGTCATAGGTGTCAATGGCACGCCAAGGCCCTCGGCGAACGCCTCACTCACGAATGAGCGTTGTGCCCCGGTATCGATGAGGATCCTCGCACACCTACCATTGATCTTTAATGTTCCTACATTTATACACCATGTAAGATACATTTTCTAGTGTTTTTACACATCTTTAGGAGGTTATTAAGTTAATACTAATGTTTGGAAACAAACGGGGGTCCAAACGTAGAAGAACGGGGCGAAAAAATCAACTTTCGGGTGTTGGGGGTCCACGCACGGCGTGCCTGGGTGGCACGCACGGCCGTGCGTGCAACAATCTCACCCTGCTTGCCACTGCCGGCCAGGCACGATGCCAGGCACGGCGTGCCTTCGGCCGTGCCTGGCCAAAAATTCCTTCGGACACACTGCCTTCCAGGCACGACGCCAGACACGGCGTGCCTGCGGCCGTGCCCGGCCCAATTTTTTTTTTTTCTTCTTCTTCGGGTGCCACTGCCTTCCAGGCACGATGCCAGGCACGGCGTGCCTGCGGGCGTGCCTGGCCAGCAGTGGCTGTTTCCAGCCCGATTCGGCCTAACTCACCCGGTTTGACCCCGGGGTGGCCCGCACTCAATCCCAACGACGTATATGACCAAAGTAAGCCTAGAAATACATGGGAATACGTGTTTACCTGCAACGGAGTCCGGGTTTGCTCTCGCATCCGCCTCGGTCATTGCGTAGACCCTTGCTTGGGCCCCGCCTTGATTGACGGACGTAGCGTTGCTCATCGTTGGTTCCGTATGGTTTCCTTCCACGGTGAGCCCTTCCTCGGCTTGCAATGTCTCTCGTTGCCTCCTCCATGGGCAACTTAATTTCATATGGGTTGTGCTCCCACATTTGTAGCACATCGGGGGCTCGTTGCACTTTCCAAAATGTTTCTTAGAGCAATTAAAACATTTGGATGGTCTTAAGGAGTAAGGAAAGGACGTGTGCCACTTTGAGTTCCTTTTCTTTTTCACCGGTGATGCCGGTGCCGTAAGAGTGCTTTCTCCTCCTTGGTCGTTTGCCCAAGGATGGGTTTGGCTGACAGTCATATCACGTTGGGAGGTGGCCCGATCTCGCCTCGCCTGACGCCTACGTTCGTTCCTCCTGGTGTTCATGTTACACATCGAGCCCACTTGATTAGCGTTTGCCGCTTGGCGGCCCTCACGGCCCCCATGGCCTATTCCTCTCCCCGTAAAGGCTCGTGACACAGCCCGGCTAGCCTCAAGGTAAGCTACCGACGCTTGTCCCTTAGGGTCATTTCTTGTTGCCATTCGCTTACCCTCCATTTCTGAAACGGAATTTGGACGAGTCTTTAGACTCCTATGATGTCAATTGACAGAAAAACGTTATAGACACGTATCGACCCAAGTCACCACCATACCAATTGTTAAGGGTACCGTCTTAACAATTAGAGGCCTTGCAACTTAAGCACCAATAGTCCTATAAACGTTAAAATACAATGCTCATGGTTTTCGGTAAGAACTCTTTTGTAAAATCTTTTGTGAGAGGTTGATTATATAGTTTAGAACTGAGATGGCTCTGATACCACTTAATTGTCACGCCCCAGACCGCAATCCAAGCGCGTGTACAACCGCCGTGAAATCAAGTGATGTCACCCGCGAGTCAACCTCACTTGATTACACAAGGCGTTCGAGAAAAATAATCCATCCATACTCAGTAGTAAACATACATAACAACATCACATTTAAACCAATGAATAGCGGAAATATTCAACGGTAAGTCATAAGCCACAACCGGCCAATAACATGGGCATGCAAGCCCCAAAAGAATAGTTTATAACAAATAAAAATATCCATGAGCAATGGTTGGTAATTTGAAATAAAATGAGGAAGCACGAACCACGTCTTCCTTGATTTGATGTCACCCGTAGGAAGGTGCAGGTGGCAAGCCCTAGCTTCAACCTGAGAATGGTGGGGCCCCCCGAAGGGGTCAGTACAAGTACCGAGCGAGTAGCAGGCTAAATATAGAATAACTAGCGTTTCAAGTATAAGACCCAAACATAGGATGATACATATACGTATAGTCCTTCCCCCAAGTTTGAAATACATATTAGTATACATACACTTGGAAATACCCGACCCGTAGGTCATTGTTTATTTGGGAAAATAATAGTAGCCAATATCCTTGACTTAAATCCCAACCCACCCATATACCTATGAGTGTATAGAACTCCTCCTTGTTCAAATAAATTATCATAAGGACACCGTCCGGTCCTAGATCATTAAATGTAGCCTATGAGTTTTGAGGATACACGCCCGATCCTTGGGTACTCCACCCTATATAACCGAGTTTTGAGGATAACCGCCCGATCCTTGGGTACTCCACCCTATATAACCGAGTTTTGAGGATAACCGCCCGATCCTTGGGTACTCCACCCTATATAACCGAGTTTTGAGGATAACCGCCCGATCCTTGGGTACTCCACCCTATATAACCGAGTTTTGAGGATAACCGCCCGATCCTTGGGTACTCCACCCTATATAACCGAGTTTTGAGGATAACCGCCCGATCCTTGGGTACTCCACCCTATATAACCGAGTTTTGAGGATAACCGCCCGATCCTTGGGTACTCCACCCTATATAACCGAGTTTTGAGGATAACCGCCCGATCCTTCGGTACTCCACCCTATATAACCGAGTTTTGAGGATAACCGCCCGATCCTTGGGTACTCCACCCTATATAACTGAGTTTTGAGGATAACCGCCCGATCCTTGGGTACTCCACCCGACCTATGACTTACCACATATCACACTAGATAGGGTCTATATCATATTTAGCCAATCATAACTAATCCAATACATAAAACTTATGTATCACATTCCATGCAAAGCCATACAATTATGTAGATGTACAATTAATTAATATCGACCGGTATTAATTAATCCATTATCCACCGGTCAACGTGGTCGTTGACCGCCATTTCAAACCTTGTACAAATCAACTTAATCATCGCATAATTAAGTTAAAATATTCATTTGTGCTTCTAATACACTTCAAGCAAATATGCATTTTATATAATTCTTCATATCATATTCTATGCATAAACAATCTATTTCTTTCATACAAACTTAACTATGTTGGGTAATCACATGTTTAAATATCTTTTAAACATCATTATGCACACATATAACATTTATTTAGGTAATCTCATAATTGACCCAAAAGTTATAAGATATTAAGCCGTCCACTCACCTTGAACTAGCGTATGAAGTTCTACCCTTCTTGGTTGAACTCCGGTGAAACTCCGGCGACTTTTGGTCAACTCCGGCGAAAACTCCGGCGACTTTTCCAACTTTGTGAAATCACTTGAGATACCCTTTACAAGTGCCTAACAAGGTTTTAACATCATAAAACCTTAATCAATACAAATAACCTATAAAAGGTTATTTTCCGGTGAACCGGTCGTTTTGGCTTCTAAGTCCGTTCTTGGACATAGAATCACTTTCCAACCCATTAATCCATACTTATAGCATGTAGAACCATACTAGGGGTCCTTCACATGATATATACCTCATATGGTAGAAGAAAAATAAAGGAGAAGTTATAATAAGGTCATTACCTTAATTATTCACACTTTTCCCAACTTTTTCCCTCTTTAATCTTCCTTCTTGGAACCCTATGGCTTGAGCTCGAATTTTGGCTATGGAAGATGAGTTTGCAGAGGTCTCCTTGTTCTCTTGGTGTGCCTTGGCCGAAATTATGGGGTGGGTGAGTGAGGAGATAGCCTCTTTGGCTTTTCTCTCAAAATAATGTGGGAATGGGTCCTCCCCATTGTACTTTTGATGCCAAATGCATCTCCTCCTCATTTCCTCTTGTCAACCCAGCTCTCAATTGATGTGTTTAGCACATAAAAACGTGGGGTGGCCCCCACTCATGTGGGAGGTCATCCCTTTGTGTCCCGATGTGTACAATCGGTCCCGAAAGTTGTATTTTTCGGACTGTTTTAAATATATTTTATTTTATCAGGTCAAATAAAATATATTATGTGCTCTTACTCATTATGACATGTATAATGAATATACATTCCCCAACTTTAATTTATAAACCTCCGAAATTCATTTCCGGGCTGTTATCTGTTAAATTGTCGGTACCGGTAATTGGGCCTCTTTTTCCCAATCGGTCAACTCTGCGCCTTTTCACGACCCAAATAAAATATCCACCACTATGTAAATATTATCTTGACCAAGATGAATAAAATGTGTGGTCTCGGGAGTGTCGGGCGGCCCCCGCTCCGGGTGTGGGTCCCACGTGCAATTTACTATTCACGCGAAAGAAATAATAAAAAATTTACAACCTCGTAAATTCATTAATCCTTTAATAAGGTTCAATACATTATTTACATAAAAGTAAATATATTTGGGGACGGTGTTACACCTTTACTTCCTTCGCTAAAATTTTGACCGGTTCTTCCTTGTAAGTGAGGTCCGGGTTAATATCGACCGATTCTGCTTGTATGACATGAGAGGGGTCTGATCGATACTTCCTTAACATTGACACGTGAAATACGTTATGGATCTTTTCAAGCTCGGGTGGCAAGGCTAATTTGTAAGCCATCGGGCCAACTCGGTCGATGATCTCATAGGGTTGGGCCATCCGCGGCCAAGAACATATGAGAAAGTGTTGGGCCATCCGCGGCCAGCTTGATTGGCTTCCATGATCCGTCGCGGACCGCACCTTCGATGAGGTGGCTAAGTCGCTCAATGCAGAGGGTGAAGAGGTATGGGGAGAGTGGACACCCTTGACGAATACCCCGGGATGGAATGAATTGATCGGTGAGTTCACCATTCCACAACACCTGAAATTTATTAGTTCGCACACAACTCATAATCAATTGAACAGTTACTTCCGGTAAGCCAGCCGCGATAAGGGTACTCTCTAGGAAACTCCAACTGACTCTATCATATGCCTTCGCAAGATCAATCTTCAACACCATCCGACGGAATCTGTTGCGGTCATGCTCCATGGAATGAACAACCTCTTGGAGGATGATAATATTGTGAGTGATGTGTCTACCTGGGACAAAACTTGATTGGGTGGGATGCACAAGCCCTTGCATATAAGGTCGTAGCCTGGTTGCCAGTACCTTTGTCACTAACTTGTAAAGGACGCTGCAGAGACTGATAGGGCGGAAGTGAGTCATGTTTTCTGGGCTGCTCTTCTTAGGAATCACTACCAGGAGAGTATCATTAACCTCAGCAACATTGTGACTATCTGTAAAACAACTCAAAACAAATCCGAACACATCCTGTCCTACAGTATCCCAACATTTTTGGAAAAAGATTGGTTGAAAACCATCCTTACCTGGAGCCTTAAGGCCATCCATGTCGAAAAGAGCTTTCCTCACCTCTTCCAATTTTGGATTACGAGACAGAGAAGATTGGGCAGCGTCGTCCAGGGCCAAGAAGTTTGTCGATAGAACTGGGGACTCAACTACCCCCTCTTCTTGAAACAAGTGAATGTAGAAATCTCTAGCAATGACCTTAAGTTCTACGGGATCATCCACCCAACACCCGAGGTCATCCTGCAAAGCCAACACTTTATTGTGAGAACGACGTCGAAGGGTGAGCATATGAAAATACCTGGTATTCCGGTCGCCGTCAATGATCCATTGAGTGCGGGCCTTCTGACGCCACAGTAGGGCCTCCTCCCAAATTGTGATTTCCAACCGTCTTCTTGTTTCCTCTTCCTGAAGCCGAGAGCTGGTGTTGCCCCCTCCCCCGTTAAATATTTCAAGATCACTCAAGTGCTCTATGAGGCATTTCTTGCGACTTTCAATGCGACCAAAGACATCGCGGTTCCAAACTCGCAACTTCCGTTCAAACCGTGCAAGAGAAGCAGGAACGGGTGAGCTAGACTGCCAAGAAGACTGAAGAAGCCGTGGGAAGTCTTCATGCGTAAGCCAAGGTGCGAGGAATCTGAATGGGCGACCTCGAGCAGGAGGGGCCGAGAAACCCACTGTAGACATGAGGATTGGACGATGGTCAGAGCGAACACGATGAAGGTGTTGGAGAGTGGCATGAGGGAAAAAAGATAGCCATGTCGGGGACACCAGGACCCTGTGGTTAGTAGTCTGACAAGTCTGTAGTTTGTATAATTGAGTAATTGTATTTACTCTTTATTTGTTATAGCTTCCTGGCTTTTTAGATTTAGTTTTGTACTTTCTACAATTCTACTTTTCTAGTCTTTATGACTTATGAGTTATGACTTTCTTTAGTTTTTGTTATTACTTATTACTTATGTATTATTTATTTAGACCATTTAGTTATTGCTACTTTAGTTAGTTTGGTAGTTTGCAGTAGTGGTAATAAGTGGTGGACTAGTGTGGACTAAGTAGTTGTCTAGGTATTCGCATAATTGCATTACTTATAATCTATACTTCTATATTTTTATAAATGTGTTAGTTGTTAAATGTAGGTATTGTCATTTGTCATGATGGGTAAGCGAAAATTTGATTCCGGATATACGAAGAGAAAGAATAAGTTGAGAAAAAATTCGGTTATTAAATCATTTGCCGGGTCTATGGATCGGAATATAAAGACAATTCCTTCCTTAAATGTGTTTGACAATGACAATACGAATAAGTTGAGGCTAAGTTATCTATTGAAAAAGAGGTGTTAGCTAGTCTTGATTGTAATGACGTTCTTACTAGTTTTGCATTTTAAAAGGCAAGGAGAATTGGGTATTAAAAAGTACACTTTTTAGTGCATTTTATGTATGTTACATTTAAAACTATATTGTTTTGGAATTTGCAATATATGCTGTTTTTGCATTTATTTTATCTTATATATCATTGTATTTTATGATTGTGATATATATTTATTAAAGTTTTTGTGAAGCTTTTCCGCCTGGGGCCTCCGAATCGCTGGAGCCGCCCCTGGGTCCAATGAATCTAGGACTAAGTTTACCTTTCTTTCCAAACCGTAGAATCTTCTTCCATGGCGAGACTTTTAGGAAAACTTTGTCCCCTACCTCATATTCAATATCCTTCCTTTTGAGATCAGCATAAGATTTCTGTCGATCAGATGCAGCTTTCAATTTAGATCTAATTTATAAATTTTATTTTCGTATTTAAGTCATCTAAGATATTAAATAATAAGAACTAATTTTCTGGCACATGTATAACCTTAATATTTTCTTTCAAAAATTTGAAAATAAGTTTGAGGATGTTACATTTCCGGTATGTAAATAGTGTACCATATACAATCAAAGGTGGATAGAAAAAATCATTTGAATACAATAGTGCAACGCAAATGCTTAAAAATGAAGATATTCGCACTTTACATGGGAGGACATTTTTTTAAGCAACAAAATGTAAGAGCACAAGAGGACCACTTTTATTGAAACCATATACCCTATTTTTGTCCCAGAAGGCAAACCACAAATTGTGGGATAAATGCTAGGTTTCATTTACCAAACATTATTGTTGAAAAAAGAGAAAACAGAAAAGAAATACGTACGTTGGTACAATATAAAGGACAAGCAATAAAGATGGGAAAATTAAAGAGATGTATCATAAGTAGTTATCAACAATCAACATAGTTATCTATTACGCCAGTTTGAGAGGTAATACAAAAATCGACGGCCTTTGCAGTTATTTTTAAGGTGAGAACTCCGGTACCCATTTAAAAAATGGGGTAACGTACCTATCATTTTCTTGATTGGTTCAAGTAGGTATATCATTTTTAATTTAGACTTAAATAATTCAACAACAATATTCTGATTGGTCCATGTGGACAAAGGTATGGTACCTTTTGGGTACCATAGAATCTACCAATTTTTAAATTGAGAAGTGCAGAAAAGAGTATATGGCGGTATTATTATGGCCTCATAATATGCATGGTTAAGTACAACAGCAGAGTCAAAGATTATAATTGCTCAAAAGAGAGGGAAATGTTCCTTGTACGACTACCGTTGCGTAACAAAAAAATCTCACGGATGGGATATTAATTAATTAGTTAATTACTACTACTCCGCTAATACTTAAAATGATAATATATTATAGGGAAAGTTCCCGAAATAAGACCAAAATAGTTTAAAAATTCCAAAATAGGAATGCTATGTTTTTTATTTCCAAAATAGGAGTAATTACTGCCAAGTTTGGAAAATACTGCCATGTTTGAAGTCTGGTACTGCCAAAACATGACAGTACTTAGTCCTATTTTGGGAGAAAATATGTCAGTCCTATTTTGGAATTTTCAAACCATTTTGATCCTATTTTGGGTAATACTCTCTATAATTTAGTTTAGTGGTGTTTAATTATTTGCTGTATTTGTCCAAAAAAAAAATTATTTGCTGTATATTATGGTCATTCCCGTGCCTGTGTTATTGAAGCTTACTCACACCACATTATGGCACTCTACCTTACTCTAAAGTAAGGTAGACGCTCCGGATCCCACCGTAGACTGCACATAGTATAATCACCTAAATATCAATCGTACTCACCTTATATACCCATCATGCCCGTGAATATATTTTTTATGTCTGTGAATCCCTTTCACATACAAAAATCTGCTTTCACAGACATGTAGTGGAGAAAAGGTTGATATAAAGGTGGGTACAATCAAATATTTTTTTGCCTAAATATACTAGGATATATTTGATACAAGTGGCGTAAAGATATGCTTGTGAGTCTTTTTGGTAACTTCTAATTTTAATGACTAAAAAGATATTAAAAGAAAAAAATTGTAACTATTTGATAAAATATCGATTCTTACATTTAATTGTGTTTGATATAATAAAATATTGTGATTACTTAAGGAAAAAATAATTTTAAATAATACGATAGTACATACTTTGAAAAATGACTTTTATCAATACGAACTATTTGAATGTAAAAAAATATGGAGTCACATTTTAACAAAAAATCCAGTCATTTAAGTCATCAAAAACTAATGCTTACCCATCAAATAAATAAATGATATTTGAAAATATATTCACTTATTAGATATTTTGGTATACGTTTTTATGAGTTAAATGGTTGAATGTTTCTCCTATAAGCTAGTTTGTGCAACTTCTAAAAAATCTTTTATTCTTAATTTTTTTAAAAAAATTGTTTTGCCAAACATATAACTAGAAGTTATATAGATTTTGTAATGATACAATATCTAAGAGAAAATCTTTTGCAAACCTTTGGATAATTCAACTCTCTTTGTTTTTAAAAGAGAAAATCTTTGAAATAAGAGTAAAGACATTTTGAATTCTAAAATGATACTCCCTCCGTCCCATTTATATTGTCATGTTTTACCTTTTCGGGAAGTCCCACTTAAATTGTCCCATACCATATTTGGCAAAGTTTGTGTAGCTCTAAATCATTCTTACTTTATTCTTACTTTATCAATTAATATCAACCACACAAACCCACTTTTCTTTTGACATCCTCTTCCGGGACAATATAAATGGGACGGATGTAGTACTTGTCATGTTTTTATTTTTAAATAAGAGTAATTATGGGCACGTCTGACAAATACTTCCATATTTAAAGAAAGATACTGCTAAAACATGACAGTAATTCCTGTTAAAACACTCCCAAGTAAGAATAATTCACTCTAAAAAAAAACTTTAAGTTTTATTCTTTGACTGAAGTTAATGAATTCATATTAAAAAATCACAAAGAGTTCAATTTATAAATTCTTATTTTGAGACATCTCTTGGAGTGTAAGACCTTAGAAAAATGTGAAAAGTGAGGCAGAAGTAGGAAGTATTTAGTCCCAAGTCCAAGCCAGAGTGGATAATTTACTTGCATCCAGTTTCGTACCTCGGCCTGACCCATTCCAAATACAAATGAGACAAAGGACGGGAAATCAAAGTCAGCAGTGGCCTGACCGACACAGTTCAACACCGTTATCTCAAGGAAGAACTACTTGCCCGAATTTCTTCCTTTTCATACTGAAAAATCTACTCCATAGTGGGGAAACAGGAAAACCAGGGGAGGGGATTGGATTCGCCTTTCAACCTTCCCATCCCTCGCACTCCCACTTGCCCCTCTCCTTATTAGATTTCGTCCGACCACAGCTCCGATGGAGGGCGGCGGAGACGGCGCCGGAACGGTCAGGTTGAGTGCCATCAATCTCACCCCGCCGGAACGGGTCTTCAACAACCTCGACCCGGATTTCTCCGTTTCCTCTCCGGTCACTCGCCAGAAGTCCGCTGCCGCCAAACAGTTCATCGAGAATCATTACAAAAACTACCTCCAAGGGCTTCAGGATCGCATGGAAAGGTATCTCTATCTATTTACTGTTCAATTTCATCTTCTTCTGTGTGTAACTCTTTTGTTTTGACTAATGTTTTTGTAATTGTTTAGGAGAAGGACTTTGCAGAGGCGAGCGCAAGAGGCGCAGATACCCAGCGAGGAGCAGGAGAAGATGCTTAGGAATTTGGAGAAGAAGGAGACAGAGTATATGAGGTTGCAGAGGCATAAAGTTGGCGTTGATGATTTCGAACAGTTAACTGCTATTGGCAAAGGCGCCTTTGGCGAGGTCAGTATGAATATACTATACCCTTGTTTTACTTTTGCCTGAAGTTAGTGAGTATTGCTCTTAGCTTTGTTCATTTGGATTGTCACTTAAGTTTTTAGTAGAAAGGTCTGTTTTTTTTTATAATACTAGTAATAAATATTAAGAATAAAATTATCTCTTGATTACTACAAATCATACCAGTCTTGTAGGAATGGTTCTGTTTTGTTTCAATTTTGAGAATTTTGTGGAGACTTTGGATTTCTGTTGCAATCGAAGCCAATTGTAATCTTCAGATAGACATCTAGTTGAAGTCTGCTGATGTGGCAGCCAAGTGGCATCATTGACACTCAAAGTTTGTATATTGCTTTTAAATAATTACATCCTGCAATGCATGATAGGATTTTCCCCCCTGATATTTGTATAATGACTGCACTGGTATTGTGAATTAGTTGAAGCAGACTGAAGGATGTTTAATTGGAGAATATTGGAGTGATGGTTATGCTACTGGTTGGATGCAACTTGATAGTCAGCACATTTGAGTTCTTTTTTTTTCATGAAAGATTCAATTTACTACCAATTAAAATTCATATATTTGATGAAACTTTGAAAAACGTAGTATTTCCTATGAGATGTAATTCCTATTAGATATAATTACTAAACTAGCATCACCTGTTTTTGTTTTATTAAATGGCATGCACTTGCCATGGCAGATAGTAGTTGTAATTGCTAAATGCTTGTTTGGTTTGGAAATTTTGGAGTGAAAGAGAGGGAATGATGGGTTGATTTGATACTAGTTTATCATTATTTGTTTTTTGGACTAGAAATAATTATGTGATTAGTTGATGATATATTTCTATATAGTTCATTATAGAAATATATAATGATTTCCTGATTTCCTACGATCTAAATACATATATAATTTAAAAAATAAATATTTCCCTCCCCTTCCCTCCAAAGTTCCGGAACCTAACAACTTATAAATCCTTTTCATCTTTGTTAATTCATTGATGCAGGTGAGGCTGTGTCGGTTTAAGAGCACTGGGGAAATATTTGCCATGAAGAAGTTGAAGAAGACAGAGATGCTTAGCCGTGGACAGGTTAAAACACAAAATGAACATTCTCCTTAAAAGTGCCCATCAATAATGCTATACTTTTATCCTCCTGGGGGGGGGGGGGGAGTGTAACTTCCTCTTTTCCATCCCTATTTCATATTAAACCCCCTCCAATGGATTCACATATGACTTCCTCTCCATGTGTGGGTGGAAGTTCCTATCCTTAGAAAAGTCCTTGTCAGACAGTTCTGTTTTAACTTTAGATACTCATTCGAACTCGTTTTTAATTATTTATTTCTATTATATAAAGGCTAAGAAATCTTTATACTGTATAAAAATTTAAATGTAATTGTATTTCATTTCCAAAGTAAAGCCACACACACGAAAATAGATAGTGAGATTCATGCATACTTCATACCCTTAATATTTTTTGTCCTTTTACGAGACCTTCCTGAGATAGTGAGATCCAAGCATACCTCATACCCTTAGGGTCGGTTGGATGACTTGGATCCCATAAAATAGTAGGAAAATATAATAGGAAGAAAAACATAGAGGAAAATGTGGGGGGTGGGGGAGACAGACAAAAACATAAGAAGTTAATTTTAGATATTTGTTGACTCTAGTTTTATTTGTTATTTCTATTTTACAAGGACTAACTAATCTAAATAAATACATATAGAAAAAACAATCATACTTCATTTCTCTTTGCATTTTCTAAGGTAACACAAAGCATACGAGAACAACTTATCCTTGCCTTTTATATATGATAAAAACATACCTTTAGCCCGCTGATTCTATATGCCTGTGCTTAAGTTCAATGCATTAACATATTGGCCACTTATTTCAAATTTTCAAGGTTGAGCACGTACGATCAGAAAGAAATTTGCTAGTGGAGGTTGATAGTCGTTGCATAGTGAAACTCTTTTATTCTTTCCAAGATTCTGAATTCTTGTACCTCATCATGGAGTATTTACCCGGCGGTGACATTATGACTCTACTAATGAGAGAAGATGTCCTCTCTGAAGATGTTGCACGCTTTTATATTGCAGAGAGCATTCTAGCCATTCATTCTATTCACCAGCACAATTATGTACATAGGTATTAACAGTCTGTCAGATGTTTAAGCCTTTTCAATTCCTTTTTGTTATTTGAATTTGACTATTCTTCTTGTTCTACTTTTAGGGATATAAAACCAGATAACCTTATACTTGACAAGAATGGTCACTTGAAACTTTCTGATTTTGGCTTATGCAAGCCCCTGGAGAGTAGATATTCATCAATATTGTTTGGAGAAGACGACATCACAACTCAAGAGGCCATGTATGAGGGTGAAGGGAATTCTAGGGGCAGCGATAGGTCTCAATTTCCAATGCCAAAAGAACAACTACAACAGTGGAAACGCAATCGTCGTGCCTTGGTATCATTTGTTTTCTTGGATACATTTTTCACTTGTAATGTGCAGTTCATTAATATATAATTAATATATAACCAAACAAATTTTCAGGCATACTCAACAGTTGGAACTCTTGATTATATGGCACCTGAAGTTTTGATTAAAAAAGGCTATGGAGTGGAGTGCGACTGGTGGTCTCTTGGAGCTATTATGTATGAGATGCTTGTAGGCTACCCTCCCTTTTGTTCAGAGGATCCAAGGATGACATGTCGTAAGGTAATTGATTATTTTCTTTCTTATACAATTGAAGTTGTGTTGAATGAGCTTGATAATTTTATATAACTTTGCTAAAATAATTATTAAAGTACTTTTTTTCTTTTTTTACATGTAATGCATCAGATTGTCAATTGGAAAACATGTTTGAAATTCCCTGAAGAACCAAAGGTACCAGAAGATGCCAAGGACCTGATATGTCATTTGTTATGTGATGTTGAATCAAGGTTGGGGACTAAAGGAGTAGAAGATATAAAGGTAAATAGCTGCTTATTGCTTAAGTGCTTATTACCTGTTCTCCTTGCGGTTCCGTTTTTTATTTTTTTCACCTCTTTGTTTTATCCAAATTTAAATTATGATAAATGTGCATCTCGCTTTCCATCTCTTTCTATTTTATTTCTCTTAAATGTTTCCAGGCACATCCGTGGTTTAGGGGCATCGAATGGGATATGCTTTATGAAATGGAACCTCCGTACAAGCCTAGAGTTTCTGGGGAATTGGACACACAAAATTTTGAGAAGTTTCCAGAAGTGAGTGTCTTATCTTTATAAACTAGTTATGTGATTAGATTGTGAAGAAAGCTGATGAAATACTCAATTTTCAATGATTTTTATCATTTCTATCAGCAAGTTGAGTATTTACTCAGAGCTTTGTTCATTTCATAATAAGCAATTCCATTTCATTTTCTATTGCAAGTTAAAAAGTGAAACATTCTTCACCACTTATATTTTCTCTTTTATAGGTAGAAGATGCACCATCAACTACTCCAAGAGTAGGACCTTGGCGGAAGGTATTTGATGTTTTCATGCCCAGTATACAAGTATCTAATACAATTATTAATTAAATAAAATACTTCTGAATGAGGTTTACTTGAACTTAATGACAACTGCAAAACAAGCATCAGGATGATTTTTAGGGTATTGTGTTCTGTTGCTTGTGATTGATAGGATTCCATCTGATTCTTTAAGCCCCTTCCAGAATGAAAAAATATCATGCGTTTCAGTCCTCCAAATGTAATCCTTTGCTGACATAAGCTATTTACTTGATCTTGCAGATGTTAACATCAAAAGATTCCAATTTTATTGGGTTCACTTTCAAGAAATCTGACGTTCTTAAGTCTGCTGAAACTTCAGGTTTGCTTGGGATGAAAGTCTATAAATTATTCTTAGAATATGCACATAATGAATTGGTCACAAGAAACATAATCCTAGAAAATAGCAGATCTGATGCTGTCTTGTTAAATTTCTTAAAATTAGAGGTTATTTCTTGACTACCTAACAAGATCGTCATCGTAGTGGTTCTTCAAGAAAACAAGATCAAAATGGTACTCCTTAGTAAGAGTCTTCTTCAAAAGCTTTTTTGTGTGTGTCCCAAAACAAGTTCCCTTTCATGAAAGGGAGAATTAATATTCTCTTAAAAGAGTTATAAACAAGTTCATTGTATTAAATTACTTGAACAAAAAGGAGAATTAAAATAGTATGAGTAGATATCAATGAGTTTTAAGAGTTTTAGCATTCTAAAATTTAAAACTTGTGCATTTCAAGCACAACTCTCCTGTTTTTGGGATTCGGGGAACATTACAGATAGACTTGTGATGTGAAAGTGGAGGTGGAAAATGGAAATGATTGAATCTGCTGTTTTATTATAAGTTCTGATCGAGTTTCTTTTCTATATATTCTTTTAATACTGCAGGAATAGACATGAGTTCCAATGGACCTCCAAAGCACCCATCCTTAGTAACCCTACTTGGTATGGTGTCATTATGCATTCTTCATATCCTGCGAATCTCTTCCTTTTTTATCAACTTGTGCAAGCAAATTGCGTATTAAGATGCTATTAACCACATTTTCGTTTGCAGTTCCCTTTTTCCTGACAAAACAAGCTCATCTTAAAACTGGAAATATCAGTTTTAGACCTAGCAATCTAGTCTTGAATAAACTTCCACAGCTATGCACTCTATGTTCATTGCTAATGCAAACTTGGTAGTTCACCTTCTCAATTTCCTCTGCACACCACTCACATTGATGACAACTAATGTTTGCGCATAAACATTGGTTTACGTGCTCCTCACATTGATTTGCCTATTTAGAGATACACAAATAACTATAAAGTATAATTTTTTTTATTCTAAAAAGTTCACTCCCTATAAAAATAGAAAATGGCACCACACTTTTTGGACGCTTGCATATATTAGTGTAAATGTTGTGTATTCATAACCATCACTGGGTACTTTTTTTTGTAACATCCATTAAAAAGCAACATTCTTTTTTGTGGCTTGATGTTGTGCTGCAGGGAGGATAGATTTGCAAGACACGTCAATTGCAGAGGAGGAAAATAAGGAGAAAAGCGGCTGATTCCATTGAAAACTCGCTTTTCTCTATCAAAAGTGTAATTTTTATGCAGTTATTTTCTGTATAAAACCAAAACGAGAAAAATTCATCAACTTTGAAGCCTATACAAATTTTTGAGCTCAGCATATTTCTGTGTGCCACGTGTCTTATCCACCTACAGGATTTTCTTCTCAATGTAGTACTGTATATTACTTGTACACTGTATATTACTTGAACACTGTACAGTAAAAAATTCATTCCGTCTGATTATTCTTTTAATTTTCCAGAACGCCTTTGCTATTTCGCGAAGAATTTATCTTCCATAATTCACATTCTTGTGCATATTGGTTAAGTTGTTTACTTAATTCAGTTCCTTTTTGACGTTAATGATTTATGTCCTTTTATTTTGTAACCACGAGTCCACGAGTAATCCTGAAGTATGCGTTCATGCGAATGTGAACAGGAATAAATAGTCTAACATGAATGAAAACTTGACGGGCAGGATTAGCCTTTGGCAGAGAAAGCTTACTACATATAGATTTAGTTGGAGGTCGTGGAGGATGAGGAGAAAGCTCTGTATAATTATTAGCATCCGGAGGATTACCAGACATGTATACAAAAGCAACCCCAACAGCTTGGTTCTCAGCATCCGTTTTAGGACACCACCTATCCGGTTCGGAGCAAAAGGCTTTTCCATTCACGACGACAGTAGCATGAAATCTAGGGTCATGATCTGGGCCTTTCTTCGTGACATTGTTTTCCGGGAATGGCAAATGCAACTTATGGGAGAACTCTTGGAGCTTAGTCTTCAGCATGTTTAAAATTCTAAATGAAAGTGCTTCCAAATCTGCGAAGCAAACCAGAGCCCGATTTTATAGGTTTTACAAGATAGAGCCACCAACCAAATGAGTATTTGTTGAATATTTTTTTTTAACTGTGGCCAAGTTATTATTATCTTGAATTTCCTTTTGTAGAATTATGTTAATAATTAATAAGGCTTTTTAACCAGTTGCTATACCATGGGAGCGGTGCAGAGAGAGCATCCTGCTCCCACAATTATATAAGATGTAAATTGTGTGAATCAACATGTAACTTAGGTTAATCAAAATGTAAATTACGTTCATTCAAATGTAACTCATTGAAATGTAAACTGCTTTGATTCAAATATAACTTGAGAACAAGTCAAATGTAACTTGTGAAATGTAACTTTAGCATATTCAAATGTAACTCGGAAACAAGTAGATGTAACTTGTGAAATCAACATCCAACAGAATAGGAAAATTCAAATTAATCTGAATTTGAATAATACGCAAGGACACTGCCTAAGGAACCGTGGTGATGTGTGTGGTCTTTTATTACCTTGTAATATTTTCTACATTGACTTTTGAGCCAAGTTTCTTTCAGTTGGTTATTCTGTTCAATTAGGCACTTAGCTCAGCAACCAGTTAGTACCTTGGTTAACAGTTGTGTTCTTTGGCTCCAAATTAAGCCTAAACATATCAAAGATTTTCTAAAAGCATAGTCAAAACGCTAGCCAACTCACAATGAAGCAGTTTAAAGAAAATTTTTCAAAAAATTTGACATAACTTTCCTATGAATGCTATGAATGTTGTTCTGCTTCCTAATAAGTTATGTGAAGAAATTGAGCGGCTCATGAATGTATGGATACTGGTGGAGGGGGGGCAAAATTTGACCAGAGAGGGATAAGATGGAGGAGCTGGGAAGTTTGGGGTGAAGGAAGTTTGGGGTTTAGACGAGTCAGAGATTTTTATTTAGCTATATTAGCTAAATAGGCATGGGAGCTTGTGGGAGATGAGCGGAGTCTTGTGGGTAGAGTTTTAAAGCTAAATATTATCCTAATTCTTCTTTCTTGAGTGCTCAGATGCGGAATAATCCTTATTACATCTGACAAAGTATTATGGAGACGCATGCTATTTTGATAATGCATACTCGTAAGAGAGTAGGGAATGGTAGAGACACTCAGGTCTGGGAGAATAGGTGGCTTCCTGGGGAGGGTACCGGTTAGCAGGTTCAGTCTGATCGGCCAAGAGGAGTTCGAGATATGAATGTGGCAACCCTGAGAGATGAAACCGGAGGAGTCTGCAATGTTAGCAGAGTGAGAGCTATTTTCTCGCCGGAGGAGAGCGAGAGAATTTTGAGTATTCCGGTTAGCCGCTATGATTGGGCTAATAGTGTTTTTTGGACGGGGGGAAATGGGATTTTTTTCCAGTGAAAAGCTGATATAAATTGTTAACAGGGATGATGTTGAATGCAGATTGGATGGGGTGGACCGCGATGTGGATGAATCACTCCCTACATCTGTTAATCTTAACAGAAGGCGGGTCAATGTATCTTTGAGTTGCAGGTCCTGTGACGAGGGGAGGAGTCGGTAGGGCACATTATTAAAGACTGCTCGGCGGCTAGGGATGTGTGACAAGCGGCAGGGTGGATTCAACCTAATCCAGCGGACAGTTTTGAGGCATGAGTAACAGCAAATTTGGAGGGGAATGACCAAGTTCGGTGCGGCCGGTTTATAACAATTTTATGGGGTAGCTGCATATGGAGAAACAGTATGGCGGTTGTGAGGTGTGCAGATAGTATGATATGGGTTTGGGATGTGGTTCAAAAGAAGCAGCGGGAGGGGTACAAAAAAGATCCTCTAGAGGTGGTATAGTGGCAAAACCTAGAGTGGGGTCTGTAAAAGAAAACATTGATGCTGCTGTTAATGAGGCGGGCATGATTCGGGGTTGGAGTTGTGTGGCCCGTACGAATCACGGGTCTTTCATTAAGGGCGCAAGTAGATCTTAGAGTGGTAATGGGAGGCCAGCTGAGTCGGAAGTACTTGAAGTTAGGGACACAGTAGAAGATGCATTGAAAGAAGAATAGCACTGTGTGGAGTTCGAGTCAGATGCCTTATTACTTGTCAATGACGTGCGGAGATTGCAAGGTGGGTCATATATTGACCTGATATTCGAGGATATTCAGATGTTACTGAAAATTAAGAGTGAATTTAGTTAATTAGTCTCTCTTATTGTAAAAGGTCTGCGAATCACGTTACTCATACGTTAGCTAGACAATGTGTGTTCCTACCGGATTATACGTAGTACTCCCTCCGTCCCCCTAACTTTGTCCCGTTTTACCTTTTTCGTCCGTCCCATTAAGTTTGTCCCATACCATATTAGGAAATGTTTGAGTGGTTATAATTAATTCTTACTTTAATCACACTTTACCAATTCAATACCAACCACACAATTATACTTTTTCTTAAAAACCACACCACACCCCTTTGTCCCAAACTTAGGGGGACGGAGGTAGTATTAGTTATTTTGATGATACTCCTGCTAGTGTTGTAAGTGAGTTGAGAAACGATTTATTGGATTAATGATATGATGTTTTTTGCTTAAAAAAAACTTTCTCCATAACACTTTATCCAAAAACAATCACCGTAACACTAGTAAAAAATATTCTCTCCATCCTGTAAAACTTGGTCAAATTTTTTTTAATCGTCCCCAAAAACTTTGTCAATTTTCATTTAAAATAAAAAATATGTGGCTAAAGTTATCGGTCTATTCTCTGCACAAATTTAACCATATAGTTTTTACTTTATTAATTTATGTGCAAATCAACTTTAGTCAAGTTTTGTGGGACGGAGGGATTCAGGGAGTACTCCCTAATTTGAAGGGGAACAAAATTACACAAATGCCATTAGTCAAAATCATTTTGGAGAATACTTTCCGTATTCCGAGATTGACCCTAGAAAATAAGAAAAATAAGAAAAACAGGTATGGTTTCTCAGTCCATCCTCCGCCTGCGCCGCCGATTCTCCTTTTCGCTGCTAAACCCTCATCCTCCACTTTGGGGTTTACTTCATTCCCAATAGTGCAGAGCGAGGAGATATGTGGCGATCCACGATTCATGCAGCTAGGATATCCGTCCTTAGAAGACTCGGAGCAAAGCCAGAGCATCCATTACTCCAGAACACTTCTCAGGTATGCTTCTCAGTGGAATCTCCATTGAATCGAAGTCCGCATTTCCTTGCTTCCACGAATTGCAATCTTCCAAACTCGTTTAGATTTTTCTCCTCGACCCCGAATTTTGATTCCGATGAATCTGTGTTTCCCATCAACGATTCTACACCTGGTCATTGGTCGGCCAGCGATTTCGACAACAAAGATAGCCCCATTTCGTGGGACACCGACAAGGGTTCTTCCTCCGTTTTCGGGGAAGTTGATGATGGAATCGCAGATGTAAACGATTTCTCCGTCGGGATTGGATTCCCTAATGAAAATTCCGAAAATGCTGACGTTCCTTTAATTGTTGGGGAAGATGCGGAGCCTGAGGTGTCTGTAGAGAAGGAGGAGAAGGTAGATGAGGGTGATTTGGTTGAGAAGCTCGAAAAGATGCTGTCATTGCTTCAGAGTAGTGGAGTGGTTGATGGATCCTTAGAGACTAGCCTCGAGGAAATTGGTTTGAATATTACCTCTGATCATGTGATGAAAGTGCTCGAGACTGAATATGTTCCTGGAGAGAATTTGATTGAGTTCTTCAGTTGGGCTTCGAGGAAAGCAGGAGTTGTAGTAACTACGCACATGCTTGAGAGTCTGACTAAGGTTATATGTTCTGGTGAAAGGATGAGAGATGCTTATGCACTGTGGGGTTTATTAAAGGACCTGGAAGAAAAAGAGACTGGAGTTTTGAACGCTGACATATTGAACAGCTTGATAGCTTTCTTTGCCAGGTTTGGCAAGGGAAAAGCAGCTTATGAGGTATTTAACAAGTTTGAGGACTTTTGTTGTGAACCTAATTCCGATACATATTATTTTACTATTGAGGCCCTTTCGAGGCGCAAAATTTATGATTGGGCGTGCTCTGTTTGTGTGAAGATGCTTGATGCTCAAAAGCTCCCAGAGCCGTGTAAACTAGGAAACATCATTTCTTTTTTTAGCAAAGGGAAAAAGGCTCGAGATGCACATCTTGTTTACACAGCTGCAAAGGAGAAAAGCATCTCCCTACCTCAAACTACCATTATTTCATTGATTAAATCTCTCTGTGAAAAAGATGAAGATGTTCAATTTGCATTGGAGGTGGTTAGGGATTTTTCTACAAAAGAACGAAAACATGCCATTCAGTCATTTTCTTCAGTTATTAAAGGTTTGTGTAGAATCAAAGAAGTTCAAGAGGCAAAAAGTTTGCTACTAAGTATGATTAACGAAGGCCCACCTCCTAGTAATGGTGTTTTCAATACAATAATTACTGCACTGTCCAAACAAGGTAATAATATGGAAGAGGCAATAGAGGTTCTGAAGATGATGGAGGGACGAGGATTAAAACCTGATGTTTACACTTATACTGTAATTATAAGTGGTTATGTGAAGATGTGTGAGATGGAAAAGGCTTATAAAGTTTTAGGTGAGGCGAAGAAGAAGATTACTAAGCTTAGCACAGCCACATATCATACACTTATCCGTGGTTTCTGCAAGCTTGAGCAGTTTGACAAAGCTCTTGGATTGTTCAGTGAAATGAAGGGGGATGGCGTTCAACCCAATCATGATGAGTATAATAAGCTCATTCAATCTCTTTGTCTAAACTCTTTGGATTGGGAGAAGGCTGAGGAGTTACTGGATGAGATGAAGGCCAATGGTTTACATCTCAATGCAATTACTAAAGGTCTTATAAGAGCAGTTAAGGAGATTGAGCAGGAAGAAGTAAAGAAGATGGAAATTACAGCTCCTGCTTAAATTCCACAAGGTTATTACTTGTACTTTAGTTCATTTTTTTCTTTTTTTTGCTTCATTCTGTTTTTTTCGTTATGTTAAATGCTGCCAAATATTTGAAGACTGGAAGGAAAAATGTTTCTTCATATTCATATGGTTGATTATTAATGTTCTGCCCCCGCCTGCCACTATAGCTAGCAATCCTTGCTAGTAGCCTGTTTAGTTTTTATGTTGTCTTTTGATACTTTCTTCATTTTCTATGATACTTAAACTTGCAGACCACTGTTATTAGCAATCCTTCAGAGTTAGAGAATGAATATTCCAGACAGAGTCATAAGTCTTAAAAAAGTGGCTTCTAACCCAGTAGAAGCTTGCAAGAAGAAGATTCTTCAGGTCTTCTTAATGAGGCCCTGAAGACTTCCCAAAGGAAACATGATTAAACTATGAAGTTTGCGGGAAAGCTATAATCTGAAGAGGAATGCTGATTTAGACAACTGAGTTTATGATCTGTTATCCTCCGCTTCACTGAATTTAATTAGCTATATTAGAAATGCTCATTATGGTTACAAGAATAATCAGCGCAGCAAGACCAAAACAATAAACTTTAGTATAATAGTGATGACTGATGAGGGTTAAGCCAATAAACTCATGCATCTGAAATTGATGCAGGCCTCATAAACGCACGAGTTTTTCTCCTATAACTTGGTGGCGTGGTGTGTCTGCTTTGAACTTTACATATGGTTTTAAATCATCTATTTTTTGTTAAGATCCATTCTTTTTCTGGGAATATACATATGCATATTTCTTATGGCAATTTTGAAAATATTCTTATGGTAAATTGATCAACTATCTTACACAACTGTTTAGTAGATCTGACTCATATCTCTTATTTCAAGTTTATCTTATTTTGTTAAGTGCATTTTTTGAATGCGTGGGAACATAATATTTTTATACTGCTGGATGAGCGAAGTGAATAACTTAGATCTCATTCATAACGCACTTCCAAATTGTGATGCTGAAAAACATCACCCAAAATGGCCTACCATCGACGTTTAATTAGTTTAATTTACATTTCTCTAAACACTCTCATATGAAAATATAGGGCCTTTATAGGTACAGCTGACAGGACCTAGTTACTTAAATACTTTCAGAAAAAGAATGCATCTTAACATAAAGAATGCATCAAAAACTATTGGGAAAAGTGCGAAAAAATGCACATGTGATTGGACTCGTTTTCAAATCGGGTCATATGTTTTAATTCTTAACAAAGTAGGTCATGTGATTCATTTACGTTATCAGAGGAGGGGCCTGATGCCTAATACCGTTAGAAATTATCGAAGGAAGACGATGAACAGTAACTCCGTTTTTTAAAAATGCTCGGAAAATTCAAAGAAATATATTGGGAGGTTCAACTCATCAAGGCGACCTCCAAGAAATCTTGCGTTTTTGTTTCTAGTCACCCTTATCGCCGGAAAGTCCACCGAAAGAGTGATATTAGCGAATTCATTTTTTTAGAAATAATCCAAATATATTTGAAAAATCCAAAGAAGAAAATGGGTTGGAGGTCTCCTTTGGGAGACATATCTCACATTATTTTTATTCTATTTTTTTGGACATTTTTTAAATTGGTGTTACTATTCATCGTCGTCCTCCGGTGACTTCTAACGTCGTTAGCGTCAAGCCCTTTATGTGATAACGGAATTGAAGCACCTGACATACTTAAGAATTGAAACACATGGCCCTGTTTGAAAACGGGCTCAACCACATGTACATTTTTTTGTGCTTTTCCCAAGAATATTTAACAAAAATTCCCAAAAAATGCGTATACATATATTATAATAATACATCACAAAATAACATTGATGGATTATGGGGTATCCAAACTATAATAAATGAAGAGATTGAGCTAGTAAGAAAAAGAAGATGATGAATGTGCATTGAGCCATTGAATATGTGAATTCAGAGTTAGGGTTACAAGCTCCCAAGGGGAGTATATATAGGAAAATCCGGGTCTGGACCTCTAATATGGGCTTGTCATATCCGGTTACATAAAAAGGTTGATAATATAAAAATCTAATTTAGAACACCCAAATAATATTAATTTACAATAATGAGAATGTTATCTATTGAGCTTATGTGGACCACTGTCCGGGCCCAATAGTAATGAGGCCGGATGTCCGAGTCCATATACTCTATCAAACATATAGTAAGAAGAAATACAAGTATACACATGTTCATGTAGCAAATCCGATTACTACATAAAAGAATAACTCATAATTACATAGCCAGTGACAAAAATAGAAATAGTAATTAAGTTCAAGAAATAACTTTGGAGGAAGCGGTCCAACCCAACTGGTTGCCGACTCACTCTCCCTTATGGGAGGTCCCAGGTTCGATTCTCAATGGAGTGAGATTGATCCTAACTTTGCAAAATAATTTCAAAAAATAGGCATAATAACGATAGAATGAGACTAAGTTCATATCATCATTTTTATATGATCATCAAATAACATTCAAGTTAAACTCGTCATTTTCATCAAGATGATGACTGATATACGAGAAAGTTGTGTGACTGCTACACTCATTATTATTTACGTGTAAAAGTTTATACTAAAAAAATTTAGGTCTAGACAAACCTTAATTTTGATATGCTTTTTTGAAAAAATAATAGAATCTAGTAGTATTTTAAGTTTTATGTTTTTTTAGAATGCTAACCTTAGCGTAGCGGCTAGAAGTAGAAAGAAGCCGTCTTTCAATCCGTTCCGATCGTTTGCGGCGAAGGAGGGAGGAATCGTCGTCTTTGGCCTTACTCTTCTTTGGCAACAGTGATGTAGTGATCCGAACTATCTGATGGTCATATCAAAGCTCAAAACAATTTAAGCAGAGGTGTGATCCAATTGGATTGTTATTCTCTTCTGGTTGTGTTGATTTTGTTGTATGACGGCTCTTTCCTGGGCACTGGTGCTCCAGGGTGGTTTTATCTCTCTCGATATGGGGAGTTATGTTGGTGTCCCGACTAGCTTTGTCTGGTCAGGGGTTTCTGTCCGCCTTCTTTTAGAGTGCATGTGTAAACATTGGTAGAGCCCGCCCTCCTTCAGAACCACCTCCGTGCCATGAAATTTTTTGTAGAAAGACTTTATTTCAATTTTATTTTTCCATTGATAGTACTTGTTTTTATTTTAGTTTGAGTAGGTTTGGTTTGGAAATTTGGATTTCTGATTTTTGTTTGATAGGTAATATTTCAGTCCTGATTGTTTTATGCTTTAAATTATTTGTTCTGTGTCTAGCGAATCAGGTTGCTTTATATGAGGTGACTGATTCTATGTCTATTCTCATGGCTCACAATTGAATCTGTCATAACTGTCTGAATGTTATCTTGTATTTTTTCTCGATTTGAATATAAAAAGTCGATCATTTATATTCAAAAAAGAAAGAATGATAGCTTTAGCTGCCATGCAATTAATTTTAGTATTTAATACATTATAATTGTATATTTTGTATTGTAACAATAGAAAAACATGAGGTCTCGGGGAGGATGTTTACCTTTTTGTTTTTAAACTATTGTTGATCTCTTTTTTAATACATTCATCCAATTGATTAATTCATGTTTCTATTTTTGCAAAATGCGGGAAGTATACATTTTATACGGGAAATAGGAGCTTTTTCTTTTTTTAAACGGGTTGACCTTATTTTTCGTTTCGAACGTGTTTTTTAATTCCAAAAAATGCTATGTGTTTAAAACGCGTTTAAAACGCAAAAACTAACTAGGTGATAGATAGAAAGGTAGAAAGGCATTTAGGGGTCTAAGTATCAAATTAAATACTCCGCAAATTAAATAATACTAGTATGGAGTATTAAATTGAAGATAGAGTTGCAATTTATTAATGTTTTGATTAAAACATATAGACCAAAACATCGCAAGTTTATTTGCTACTCAAATTGTAACTAGTAGTTTTCAAACGTAATGCTGAGCTTTTTTGGAATAATAGACAAATCATAAGATTTGAGAGGCTTAATTGTTAAGGACAGTTGAAATATGTGGGTTGAATATGAATCTTGCAAATTCTAGTACGTTTCTTAAATTAGTGATGGCCTGATAAGTGATAATCATCAACTGAGGTGTCCTCTTTTTTTTGCTGAAGTGAAGCCAGCTAGCTTAGTGGAAATAGTCGGTGACCATTTTGTTTGGTTAAATATATTTTATTTATATATGCTTTACTTAACTTTTCTATAACATGCACTAGCATCCTAGCTAGTTAATTTTTGCAAGTTATACAGAATAAGAATTAAAAAAAGTTGTATATTTGAAGATTAATCGGTGAGATGCAAGTTCATTATACAGAGTAACTAGTTTTTAGTAGACATTATTTGGGGACATGGTGTCACGTTTTAGGAAAAAAAGATCATATAACACTAGGTGATAAACAAAATTTTGGGACATACGGAAAGTTTAGTTTTCCTTTCCAAAATACTTCAGCTTTGTCGAAACATTTATGTATTATGTACGTGTTTTGAAATTTCTCAAAGACAAATAAGCTTAAATAAGGTGTACTTTTTGTGTACTCCTTCCGTCTCATTTTACCTGACTTACATTCCTATTTAGGTTGTCTCAAAATAAGTGTCATTTTTCCCGTTTTGGAAAGAAATACGTGGTTCACAATATTTCACTTTAGTATACTCAAATCTCAACCATAACTTATACTTTTCCAACCACTTCATTTTAAATTGTGCCAAAACCAAAAGAGACACGTAAAATGGGACGGAGGTAGTACTACGTATTACTCCCTCCGTCCCATAAAATTCTTTCCAGATTGACTTGACTCGCATATTAAGGAGGTGAGGGTAAAGTGAAAATGCATGGTTGTAGTTGTGTAAGAAAAAAATTAAAAAAAATGTGAGTCACACAAATTGCCTGAAATATTAAGTGGAGCAATTTTTTGGGACGACCCAAAAAGGAAATTTGGAAGAATTTTATGGAACAGGGGGAATATTATTTTCATTAAATGACAAATGAATAAGGTTGACAAATGATTAATTAATTATAGCCTAGAACATCACATACTCATCTCCAAGATTGAAAATAATCCGGTATGTGGAATTGACATCGGTACGGTGCCCATCATTCCGGTTTTGGGCTGGTTCAGGTTCCAATCGATCCTGATCCCGATTTTTCAATTTTACATTTAAACCCTCTTACCCTCTCCCTACCCTTTTTTAGCTTTAATTTGAATGAAAAACAAATTAAAATTCCGAATTTGAATCTGACCGGCTGGTTACGGTCCCAAAAATAACCGTAACTAGGACCGGTGCCAATCCCAAGATCGGACTCAAAAACCGGTCCAGTTCCTGCCCAAACCATTCCACGAAACTACATACAAATGTTGTATTTAAGTGTTCAGGAAACTACATAAAAACACCCGATTACTCAATACCGTACCATAAAGAGAGGACAAAATGATTGCAAATTGTTATCCATAAGGTTTGTTAATAAGTCGAATCGAGCTCGAATATGTGGAACTCAAATTCAGCCCAATTGGCTAGCTAGTAATATACTCCCCATAACTTAAAAGTTAAAAATCTTCCCATTTCAAAAGTAGGTAAATTAAAAATAGTGAAAGATGATATCAATTATTATGATGGGAAGATAGTGAAATAATGTGATGGATTGAAGGTTTAATACAAAAAGTAATTATAATAGTGTATTATTTTCAAAATTAATGAGGGTATAATAGAAAAATTTAGAAATGTGATTTTTTTTGTTACAAACAGAAAAGGAAAGTGAGAAGATTTTTTTTTGTTACGGAGGAAGTACTATGCTA